AAATTTGACAGCACAGAATGAAGACCCTCCCGTGTGTGTGGGCGTGTGCGTGTGTTTGTGGGTAGGCGTGTGTGTTAGGCGTGTTTTATTTACTCTAGCCATCTGTCATCACACTTCAGTTAGTATTGTCGACAACCTGATCAATTCTTCTCACCTACACACACCCTTGACCCTCTAAAAATAAAGTTCGCTAGTACATTCGGTCTCTCAGATTCACTCACTCACTCATTTACTCTATCATGTGCGTGTACATGTGCGTGTAGGCATATATTTGTCTCGTATCTAGCACAACTCCAAGGCCCGTTTCTTCAGGCATCAGAGCAACAACCCCCCCCCCTCCCCCCCCCCCCCCCCCCGCTAGGCTCGCATCTTTCTCGTGTGTTTTTGTTTGCGGGTGACAGCAAAAGTAGAAACAAACTCATGGATTATTCATTACTAACCAAGAACCCATCCGCACTCTTGTGTTTTCTCTTGTCTATTTCCCTTTTGTGCATAATTAATACTGCGTCACTCTGATTGGCTGGCGTTAACAGTAAAGGTCGTTGACAAATAGAAATTCCTCTAACCAGAGAGTAGATATCATGCGAATCTCCAATACGTTCTCTGTTTCGTGATGAAGCTTGGAGAAAGATAATGTAGATGTTCTGACGTGGCGGTCTGTCCGATTCTTACTACAGATAACAGGAATCAATAGAATGTAATGGAAGGACACCTGTTTCCGCTGCTGTAAGATGGAATGGGACAATGATTATATTAGATATTGAATCCGGGAGGCGATTGAGAGAAGATATATCCACTCAGGACGGGAAAGATTCCCGATAAAAGAGGGAGATGGGAGATAGAAGAGAGGGGTAGGAATGTGGGATTTACAGGCGGAGTGTTGGGGCTAATGGACGGAAGGATATTTGTTGATGAGATAAACACGCTGAGAGAAGAATGGCGTTGCTATGTCCTAATAAACATTAGCGCCTTTATAATGATAAAAATGCATCTCGTTTTTTGTAGAACATAGGAGAGAGGGCTGTGGAGGGAGAAAGTAAATGATGATAGAGAACCTGGGAGATTAAATAATTAGAGGATAACGTTGTAGCGACAAAAACACTGTTGTGAATTTAGTTGACGTAAAAAATAGAACATGGTAAATTCCACATAGCGATGGGGGAGTCGCGTGGTGTTACGGCTAGACGCTCGCCTGCGGAGTGGAAGGTCGTTGGCTCAATTCCTTATAGTACCAGACTTTTTCAAAAATGGCTATGGCTCCCAAGTCGACCTAGCCTTCAATGGGTACCAAGTGGAGTTCTGGGAAGTAAAGGCAGCCTTTGTGATGATGACCACCTCACCCACAGAGTTTCGATCGGTCTAGAGAATACAGATCTAGCCACTTATGCCCAATACGCCCAAAAGCGTGTAAAGGGGTACTTTTCTTCTTTTACTTAGAGATCCTGCAGGACAGTAAGGATACAGATACGGAGGTAGATTCGTGGGAACAGATTGCTACTGACCATATTGCATGAAGAGGGATAATTAGAAAGGGAATATAAGTATTGAAGAAAATTACTGCAGACAGTTTGAGAGCTGAGCGTCAGAGAAGAAGCACAGTGAAGTAGCACGCTGCTCACATGCAATTGCTCAATGGTCCCGAAACAACATGCTCTAATTGTAAAAGACTTTTCTTAACGCCAACGCCTGTTGCTAGTCACACTCGCCATCGCCACAGGCTGATTCTGATGCTTCCTTGTAGTACAACACAGTAGTAACACATCTATAAGCACTCAAGGGATTCTAGCAAACCAGTCGACTAACGAAGAAGGTAAACATACGGATGATACCTATTGCACCGATGATTAACTTCTTTGAACAACATATATTGATAAATACCGAATAGCATACAATCATACATAACCACAACATCAAATCATCAACATCTTTTATATCAAAGAATAATCATCGTTTCACATTATCATAAACCACTTCGGTCGTGAAGCGACGTGAGGAGGAATATTTTGCAATCCAGTGCACGCTGACTGCCACTGGCTATTGACATTCTGTAAAGTCATTCTTTAAATTCCTTCGTAATTTTTGAGCAATTTCACGAGGACAAATAAGTTCCCTACCGCGGCTTGTTGGGCCTGTCAATGGATCATCCTTATTTGAACTCACTGACATTTAAAAACACACAGTGACACACACTCATTTCCCTCAGAATGTTAACCAATTTTTGTTTAATCCGTCATTTATCTACAATGTAATGCCCGGCTCTCTAGCGAAGTTGGTTAAACCTGACTTTCGCGGCGGCCGGGTGACGAACTCCTTGTGGTCCGGGTTCACTCCCGGGGGTAGGCAGAAAAGCCACATTTCTCCCAGATTAACGGTACCTATAATGGAATCAAGGCCGAAGGGTTGCGATATCCATAGTACCGAGCCAACGGGTTTACAACTCATGGTTTCTGGATACGTTAAAAAAAATCTACAATGTAATCGGTTTTTTTTTTTTTTTTTTGTGGGGGGGGGGGGGGGGGGGGGGGGTGTTGTATACCTTGGTGTGTCTCATTTTCATTACAAAAGTATGTAACTGGACAGCCCCCCCCCCCCCATCCCCCCTCCCACCGTACACACACACACACCACCCATACACAAATCAGGGTATAGAAACAGATGCGCTAAACCCGAGGACCCACAGCGGGACTGGATACCACATGGGGAACTTTCACAGGCAGACAACCTACCTGACTCTCCAGAGTGTCCAAGGTAGATAAATGCTGGTTGGTGTGATTCTCCCATAGAGTTTTCGGCCTTGACTTGAAGCTCGTACAGTGTGTAGACGTCGTTGGTCTCAATGTCCAAGAAGCCTTGGTTGGGGTCGGTCACGTAGGCTGTGTTCCAGGTAAAAGTTCCCTTCATCCGCCACCTCACCTGATACCTGAACCTGGGGCCGTGGAAGTAAAGTCGGCTCATCGGCTGTGGGAATAAAAGAAATGTCAGCGGCACTCATTGACTGTGGGAATACAAGGGATAGAGGCAATTCGATGCCATTCGCCGGCTTCAGGAATCGATGGAGTATAAGAATATCAGGCCACTCAATGCCTGTAGGAATAGATGAAATAGAAGCACTAGAAGAAAGTCAACGTTAATCAGTGGGTGTAGGAACTGATGGAATACAAGAATGTCAGATCCACTCGTTGGCTGTTGGTAAAGGTGGGTGCCAGAACCATTGATTTTTTCTCACGCTATATTTTTCTGCCTCTTCGTCCCCACAGATCTTTCTCGCGCTATCTTTCTCTGTCTCTTCCTCCGCACAGATCTTTCTCACGCTGTCTTTTTTCTGTCTCTTCCTCCCCACAGATCTTTCTCACGCTGTCTTTCTCTGTCTCTTCCTCCCCACAGATCTTTCTCACGCTGTCTTTTTTCTGTCTCTTCCTCCCCACAGATCTTTCTCACGCTATCTTTCTCTGCCTCTTCCTCCCCACAGATCTTTCTCGCGCTATCTTTCTCTGTCTCTTCCTCCGCACAGATCTTTCTCACGCTGTCTTTCTCTGCCTCTTCCTCCCCACAGATCTTTCTCACGCTGTCTTTCTCTGTCTCTTCCTCCCCACAGATCTTTCTCGCGCCGTCTTTTTTCTGTTTCTTCCTCCCCACAGATCTTCCTAACGCTGTCTTTCTCTGTCTCTTCCTCCCCACAGATCTTTCTCACGCTGTCTTTCTCTGCCTCTTCCTCCCCACAGATCTTTCTCGCGCTGTCTTTCTCTGTCTCTTCCTCCCCACAGATCTTTCTCACGCTGTCTTTTTCTGTCTCTTCCTCCCCACAGATCTTTCTCGCGCCGTCTTTTTTCTGTCTCTTCCTCCCCACAGATCTTTCTCGCGCTGTCTTTCTCTGTCTCTTCCTCCCCACAGATCTTTCTCACGCTGTCTTTCTCTGCCTCTTCCTCCCCACAGATCTTTCTCGCGCTGTCTTTCTCTGTCTCTTCCTCCCCACAGATCTTTCTCACGCTGTCTTTCTCTGCCTCTTCCTCCCCACAGATCTTTCTCACGCTGTCTTTCTCTGTCTCTTCCTCCCCACAGATCTTTCTCACGCTGTCTTTCTCTGTGTCTTCCTCCCCACAGATCTTTCTCGCGCTGTCTTTCTCTGTCTCTTCCTCCTCACAGATATTTCCAAGGGGCACAGCATGGTCTAGTTACCTTCTATTTATAACATGGCGAAAAAACGACGAATTTCCCTTTCTGCTGTTTGTGATAAGTTGTCCTTGAACACTCGTCTCTTTAATCTGGGTTGCTCTTTTAGCTGTCCAAGGAATTTTAAGAAATCTTCAGTAAAACTCCATTGCCGAAGCCACAAGAAATTGTTTGGTTTATTTATTACTTGTCTAGGATTCACAGCCATATGTTAAAACTTGCTCAAAATAGAATGTACAGATTTTTTTAAAATCTAACCTCCAATGACATGGCTTTATTGCACAAAATGTTCTTAATTTTATGAAATATAGTTTTGACGCGTCCTATTATGTTTGGTCCCCCCGTATTATATCCATGTGATACATTCTCCGTTGGATGTTATCAATGTGCTTACATATTTAAACTGCTTTAGTTGTCTTAAAATAATGCGTTCGACTTTTATTAAACATTTAGGAAATATTCTTTTCTTTGATATTACACTACATCTATCTTCTCCTTATTCAAGCCGGGGCCCATTCCATCGCTGTCTACTATCACGACATCTTGTAGTCCGCGAAGTTCTTTCTGACGTGTCGCTATAAAGACTGTGTCATCATGATAACCTAGGTTGCTTATGTTATGATCAACAACCACAATTCCTTGTATGCCCATCATAGATCTTATCACGTATTCACCGTGTAATAAAAACAAACCATGGCATAGTACGCATCTCTATCGTACGGTCCCCTTATGTAAAGTAAGTAAGTAAAGGACCCTTTTCCACTCTTTTATGCGTATAGGGCATATAGGGCTAGACCTATATTTTTATAGACCAATCGGCTCAAGATGGGTGATGTGGTCAGCATCACGCCGACCCCCTCTACTTTTTGGGACTGCACCCGGTACCCACTCAAGGCTGGGTCGACTTCGGAGCCAAGGTCATTTTTGAAAATAGTTCGGCACCGACAGGAAGCGAACCCACGACCTTCCGATCCGCCGCGGGTAATCTCGTCCGATCTGAGGTCCGATATGGAAAGAGGGATAAGGAGTCTCTTTATGGTTCCCTCATTTTTGTTAATTTCTATAGCTCTCTTTACTGCGAATACGTGTTCTTTATTATATCTTTTACATCAGTGTTTAAATTTTTCAAGTAGTTTGATTGTGCGTTCATATTTCACTGTCTAATGCTTTCCCATAGTCAGTGGATCATAAATACAAGTCTTTGTTTACTTCCATAGCTTTTTCCAACCGAAACCTGACAGTCCAACAAATTTACATTATTGTTCATTAGTTTCTGGCTTAACTGCAAACGTTAATTCTGGTTTAATTACAACGTGTATATCACATGTTTAGCAATTCTTAAAGGATATTGGAAACGTGTTGAAAAAAAAATGGAATTGTGAAGAAGCAATTAGAAGATCTAACATTGGCTTTGGAAACGTCATTATACACAACAATTATCAACGCTTTATGTCTAGAAGGGGAGATAACGTACATGCTTATGTGCAATAGAAACTGGGAAAGAGAAGAAAGGTAATAGAAAACAATTTTTTTTTAGAAAGTTTAAAAAATAAAAAGAAAAGGTAAGGAAAAAAAAATGCAATTTGGAAGAAAGAAAATCCCGCTGTGAGTTACAAAAACGTGATGGAGTGTCGTGACTGAATGGTTATACCAGTTGAGTTGAGTCTAGAATTGACATCACAGCACTCTGGGCATTCCCATGCGTGCTCCGTCCTCGTCTTCAGCAGCCAGCACAGAGTTCCAGTACTGATGGTACCGGTCACAATCTGGTTATATGTCCGTCTTGCCTTTTCTCTGAGTTTAGTGAGCCGGCCAGACCCTCTAGTTACACCCAGGGGCCTCATTCTCTCCAGGCTAATTCAGTTGCTTGTTCCCAAAAGGCTTTGTCGTGTGTCATTTCACCACCCAGTGGTGCAGATCCAGCCAATCTGTCCGCCTGTTCATTACCCGCTACGCCGGTATAGTCTGGAGAAAAGATTCAAAGTATGATCACTACCCATGACCTTCCCAGTGAAGATTGTCACTCTGCTCGAAACATCCCAATCTTAACCTTTCTTATCAGGCTTTCAGAGTCTGTTACAATTACGACATGTGTATGCATTAGCTAGACCAGTGTTTGCCTGGGGCAGTCGGTAGGGGTTACTGTCGAGAGCCCTGGTTTGCCAGACTTCTATGGCCTACCGCACCCTTTTCAGTTTAAAATTGGACCAGCGCCCCTTTTCCCATAGAAACCTAATAATCATCATTATGTGCCACGCCGAAACTCATAGGCGGTTATGATTTGCTATACGATACTTATCAGCTTAATCGCGGATCGGGTGGTGCTCTCGTCCCTCCCCATACTTATGGCCAAGCTTTCAAGCTGTTAATCTCTTTGCTTTCTCCCTGTCCTCTTTCTGTCAATTTTGCTGGCTGGCCAATTCCTTACCTTGAAAACAAAAATAATGATACACTGGCAATTTAGTTTTAAATCGTCTTTCTTTCCCCGCCTTACAACATGGTGTGGTTTGTAATTGTTGTACTTTTCTCTCCAGCTCATCTTTTTAGATCGTTTCAAAAGTGTCTTTCACGTTTGAAAGCTCTGAGATAGATGGGGCTGCATGGGGCTTCTGTACCCTTAGCAAGCTTTGCCCTTTCTATTTGAAATGACTTATAGTAGGCTAGAGCTGACTGCTGTGTTAGTTGTGTTCTTGTGGACAGCATTGTTTTTCCTTTTTTAAATGTCATAATTAAAACTGTCCTTTTCAGAGCGGGAGATGGTTTGGAGGAATGATTTATGTATGTGTGTAAGACAATTTCTTATTTAGTTAAACTGGAGTACTATTTTATACTCTTCTCTTAGGCTGATGCCAGTTTCTCATGTCAATATTGAATGTGTCATTGTCTTGCAATTAGTGTATATTATATAGGTTTTCCCACCTCCTTTTTGTTTTGTTGCTCCTTTGCCGAAAACCGTATGTAAACATACGTGTCCTAGAACACCGACCTTGACACAGAAACTCACAACAAGGTCGCTGATGCTGCACTTCCCCGACTGATCCTGGTGAGCTACTTATTCATATTTAGTGACATCATCAAGTTTCAGTTCATGTGTGTATATTTTCACATCCACATGTTTAAAGTTAATAATTTTCTCTAATAACAATTTCATTTGCTGCAAACTAGGTAGTTTTAGTATTTAAGTATTATTAGATGTAATTTGAATAATGGCGGTAGACTGAGATGGGTATGTTAATCCCTAGATTTTGTTGTTGATGTTGTTGTTGTTGTTGTTATTGAGATAGACTCCATTCTCTTCCGGGAGGTCTTCGTGGTAAAGTGGTCAAACGG